GTTTCACAGAAAGGTCAACCATTTCAATGCATCCAAGTACTGACGCATGTCAAACATATCCCTTGTAGAGGCATGGATACACCCGCTGGCACTAGGTGATACCTCTTGATCCTTCTCACATGATTTTTGAATCTGCAGCGCAACATAGAGCCTCAGGGATTGCCCACGAGGCTTGAACTTGTCTCATGTTGGATCTTGGTGCTGGTTGCCTTTTGGTTGCTGATGAGGGCAAGGGATCGTTCGGGGTGCAATGCGGTGTCTTTGCAGGAGTTGTCGGGAATTCAGTCCAGCTGAATATGGGACACCAAAAGTACAAAGAGCACCACCCAACTACGCCAGCCAGGCCTCATCGTCGAAATCATCATCGTCATCATCATCGCCATCGTCGGCCATTGCAACCGATCTGCCTTGAGTGGCAGGTCCCATGCTGAAATATCAATCGCGCCGTGCTTATGGTCATGGCAGGCCCTGGTGGACACTTTGACACTTCGCCTCGATAAACTTTGGACGGGCGACCACTCCAATTGCTTTGACTTTAGCAGTCGGTCACATGCAAGTCACACGGCAAAGCTTTGCAGTATGGGGACCCTCAAGCAACGGTCGCTTCTTGCGCTCAGCAACTACCAGCTCTAGTGGCCCGCTGGGGGTTCAACCCAAATCACGGTGTGGGAATGACGAGATACTCTTTGCATGGGAACACATCGGCCAGACACAGCCTTGGCCTTGAGCTGTGCCAAGTTGCATCCGCTTTTTGCCTTCCTTGAACAGATCTTTCCAGAGATGCTCACTGTCTCTGACCCTTGCTCTGCATGATCAACCTCCTATCTTGGAAGCCAAGAAAGCAAAGCTCTTCAACTACTAACACTTGAAAACGCTGGACCAATATGTTGCATACTGATGAATTTGTCACGCAATCTCCCACCAAACTTCCTTGAACAAATTGACAATACTTCCAGCCGGGGCCCCACCCTCTCTTTGCGGATGGGTCACTAGGCGCAGCCTCACATGGGGAGCGATGCACAACGGGGTTTGTGCTCAAGCTCGGCTGTGAAACGTTCTGAGCATGCTAGCGCCTGGCAACATGTGCCGTCCCCAACTCCCAACGAATTCAGCAACAAGCACGACATTGATCCAGGCGGTTTGTGAACAACATGAACATCCTGGAGCGCATGGGGGAAAAAAGGGACAAATTCCCAAGTTGCAACTTAGGGAGTGCCCCTGCCTTGCTGGGCTTCGTGGATGAGGGCACCTCTCCAAAGTCGAAGTCATCAGCCTCGGGTGCCGGCGTTTCTGGCGGGGTCGCGGAAGGCGAAGAGGTGTTCGCATGACTTGGACACAGGTCAACATGCACCTGCTGTCCCCTGACATCTTCTTATTAAGCCCCATCCCGAAGACAGCAAACATGGACCTAACCAATTTGGATTCCACAGTGCTACATATGACACTACAAGCTGGCACTCGTTTGCCAGCAAACACTCGTTTTGGGTACCCCGAATGATGGTGCTTGCTACATCCGGCGCCATTGGGTGCATTGATAGATAGGCATAGCCACGTTGAATCGTTGAATCGGTTGGATCCTTCCGACCCGTGGCCGGCATCTGTCAGTGGTCAAAAAGCCATCTGGTGATTGGGGTCAACACGTACCAATATGCATCAAAACCGCCAGTGTTGTCGGAAATAGGGCTAGACGCTCGGTCGCAATCCATTGCAACGATGGACAAGGAAATAAGTCAGAGACAACGCGAAGCGAACAACGTGCAATTTGCTCGCTCGATGTTCAACAAACAACTTCAGTGGTAGTCAACATGAAGCAAGGTGACAAGATGTGGCTCAAAACTTTATTCAACCTATTGTCCTATAGTAGTCAGCAGTGGCTTGGATAATCCAAGCCGCAAACACCCTGTTTCATCTCTTGAGTATGATCTCGGGCGATGTAGTCTTGGGACTTTGTGCATACTTTGGTGCAATGGTTGCAATGGTTGCATGCAAAGCACAAGAGCGCCCAACTGGATGGAGCCGTGTGAAGAGCCCCGCAAAATGGAAGCTGCGGCCCGTCAAGTTCCAAACACGCTAGGCCAACGGCAGCCATGGTGCCTGATGACTCCCCTGTAAATACCAACAAACGTTGTGGTTTCAACCATGGTTTCATTTCGTGGTGCGAACGGATTTCGCAACCATCCCCAGTATTTCCTCACGAATTGCTTGCAGGCCGCGCGCAAAGATACGGGAGACCTTGATCGCGGCGACGAGTAAAGGCTGCCTGGGAGCTATCGCCATCGCGCGGGCGGGCAAACAAAACCAAGGATCACTTTGACATGGGTGGCTCGCCGGGTTTTCAGGGTATCCAGTTGAAGGGAAACCAAAAGGAACCGAAGCCATTCTTTTGGGGGCTTCCCTCAAAAAAAGACGCACCCATATGGCCCATATGGGTTTGTGCTGTTTGAGGGTCCCCTTGTGACACATATCCTGGACAATCCAAGCTCCAACCAATGCTCAGACTGGCATCCTTTCGCGAAGAATTCCATCCGAGCCACCTTGAAAGCCTTGGAAGCAGGCGCGCCATGCGCCTAGAAGACACAGCGCGCCTCGGTTCCGTTTGCCCAGTGGAATGTTTCGAAGTCAACTCTCAAACGGCTCATGTAATACCAGTACACATAGGTGTCCTTCTTGAGGAAAATAGATGGCCCTGGTAGATGATGGAACCACCAGCTAAACCAGGGCCCTCTATTTTCAACCAGACCAACAAAAAAGGAGACTTATGGCAATACATGGCTCAGAAGCCCAATGCCCATGCAACACAAGGGCTCCTTTTTTGGTTGGCTGATTTTAAAGACAAACCCTGCCCAAGAAGAGCAAAGGATGGGACTGGGTGTCTGGGATGGTCACACCGCCATCCCAACAATGCCAAAGATCAAGCTGGTTGAGCTCGAAGATTCGTTTTGGAAAGTGTGGGATGGTTCCTTTCAGCAATCTGTATGGTTTTTGTGGTATGGTTTTTGCGGTTGGTTTTGCAGACCCCGTGGTATAGTTTCCCATGGTTTCCCAAGGCACCAGAACCGCACACATGTTTGCTGGACGGGGTCAGCAGCCTCTCGTGAGAAGCCAGTGTGACCCGCGCACTGTCTGGATGTGAATTTTAATTGGTGAGCCCTTGGTGGACATCATTCTTGTGGGAAATTATGTCCACTGACCACTTTCAAGGGGGTGCTCCCTTGAAATTACCCATCTGACTTCTGGCTCATGTATCTCACGATCAGGTTCGTCCATCATGCCATCGGGGGTCGTCAGATCTTCTAGACCAGCCGTGTTTAGAGCCTCTTCTGGGCAGTGCGGCAGCTTGGAAGAAGCTGCCAACATCAAGCAGGATTTGAGGATGTGGAGCCGGGAAGGACTAAGGAATGCGTCAAACTTGTGACACTTCAAAAAATGGTGTCGCATCTCGGCATCTTTTTCAACCAGTCCAACACAGATCCCTAATTGTGTCATGCACAATCACAAGGCTTATTTCAAAATAGGGAACCACACAATGATTGGATTTTGTGTGATTTCCATGCAAACCAGCAACCACAGGCACCCTCAAACAGAAAACAGTCCGTCCTCACACTGCGTACAGGCTGCTGCCAAATCTCTTGCAGCCTTAACTGGCTAGCATCAGAACCCCACAAACATCAAAGGTAGCTCCTCACAGGAGCGGCGGCAACACATCCGCAACCCTGCAATCTATCCAAGGTCCCAACCACGTGCTCCCAAAACATCGGCTCTCTTGTGCAGGCCTCTTGCAAAAGCCCCAACACAAGAGGGCTACGCAAAAGCTACATATTTAGTAGGGGGTAAGGTATCCAAAGCAAATGGCCAGGGGCGTTTGCACGTCACAAAGCCACCCAAAAACTTTCTCCAAGGAGCCCAGAACACCTCTGGCGCGCATGGCCTTAGGCAAGGCACGGCACCTTGAGCAGTGGATCGATTGGAGTGCCACTGCTCAAGCCATGTGCTACACGATTTCACCTCCTCTACGGGTTTGTGTAACTAATCAGCTTCCCCTCGAGCTTGTGAAGGAGGGGTTGCCCATTTACCCTCTACAGGAAGCAGAGGCTCAAATCCCAAACCACCAATCCAACCACCAACTAAGGGTCACCTGAACTACAAGGAACCAAAACCTTTGGCCATGCCCTGCACCTCGGACCGATGCCGAGATCCCGGCCAATCAAGGAACCGCGAAGCGGTTCACTTCAGGAAGCGGCTGCGGAAAAATCGGGGCGGCCAAAAACCGTGCGGGGCATTTCAACGGCAAAGTCTAAACTGCCGGCCACAGCAAAAGCCTCTCAACTTCAAGGACTCAATCCCGAGTTGCTTCACCGGGTGCCCCATATTTCCTCTTAAACCATGATCCTTAGCAAGGGAAACTTACAGGCGATGCCAGAAATGACCCAACAAGGCACATATAATAGGGATCCCTGTGACAGGTCACTGAGAAAAGCAGAGACTCTGAGAGGTCTCTTGCTTGAGAAGGGTAGGATTTCAACTTCAGCTCAACGTCCCAGAAGTCGACTGAGTGTTACCTTTCTTGCAGTATCTTCATGGTTCTCGCAGGAAGAAAAATGGGACCATGGCAATCTTCCCACCAAATGTTGAGAACATACGTAAGTAAGCTGCGGATGATGAGAAAGCAACGGCAGTGACAAACTACGCACAAGGTGTACATGTCCCATTCAAAGGTTCAATCAAAGGTGTGCATCTCCTTGCCTCTCGCGTGGTGTTTACACAACCTGATTCACATCACGTGAAGCGAAGTGGAATTGAGGCCGCGGCTGCGCAAAGCATCTTAACTCACTAGGACCGTGTGCAAGTTACGTTTGCCATAGGTGTCCTTTTAGGGTAAATAGATGGCCCTGGTAGATGAGTAAACCACCAGGTAAACCAGGGCAATCAATTTTCTACCAAAACAACCAAAAAGGACACCTATGGTGTTTGCATGTCCCATCCCCCCACCCGGCCTTGACTCAGGTGCCCTGGCATGCGAGCGGACCTTTGCATCTGACCTCAAGCACAACTCCTGTTACCTGACGGTGCTCCTGGTGTTGACATAGTTAACGGACTGCTTGAGAAATGAACGCGTCAAGCTTTATGTTGCCCTCCCACCCCGTTTGGGAGACTCAATTTCCTCTTTGAACACTTCCATGGTTGTTGGCAGTGGTAGGGGCAGTTGAGGCGCGAAGTTCCGACCATGACCTACCACTCGCCTCACTCACTTCCAGCTTCCAGCAGCTAAGGCTTCATGAGCCACATGGTGAGAAGCACTCAGGGCGTCAACCAACTTCAAGCCACCTTCAGGCCCCTCTTTAGATTCTTTAGACCATCAGATTCACCATGTTTCACCTGGCCCCAGCCCCTTGCCCTTGGACTATCGCTTTGACTATGGCTGTAGCTCTGGCCCTCAGGGCCACAACCAAGCCACGGCCACGCGTTCCTGCAATGGAAAGTCACCTACCCCAGCCCCCTTGCCCTTGGACTACGGCTGTGGCTGGCGCAGCTGTTGCTTTCCACGCATGGCCAGGCCAAGCATGAGCTTTGTGCTGCCCAGCTTCCTGGCCCTGGTAAGAACGGAGATCAAAGAAAGCCAAGTCAATTAGCCGCGGGCAGCGCACAGTTTTTGCAATGCACGTCCTGTCCAGAGTGCATATTGCTTGCTTCCCCATTCAATCATTCATTTCTCATCCATCGCTCCTTCCGAGCCCCTCAGGCGGGTGGCTCGTTTTCTATTCAAAGGACTTCTGGCAAGATGCATTCATTAATCCGAAGCAGGCACTAAAGTCACGAGAATGTGATATGTTCTATCTTAAACAGCCGAAATTCATCTCTCGGGTGCGTTGAGTGGTTCGTTGTTGGGGAGATATCTTCTTCTTTTTTTGGCGGGGGCCGAGAAATCGGCACCGCCAGAACCACCCCCCAAACTTTAGTAGCTTGAGTACAACCGGTGCTTCATGAGAGACCATGAAACAACCTCTGGTTGAATAAGATAGAACTAGCGGAACTAGTGGCATGCTTTGCTTGGGTTTCCCGTTCCCAAACCAAGGCTACCTTAGCAATCAAAACCACAGACTTCCCTTCGGGACCCGCACCTCCCCGCGCGCAGCGCTTGCGGGCCTCATGCACATGGCATAGGGAGTCCGAGGTTAGGTCCTCCGGCGGGGACAAAAGGACGCCACCGAACCCCTTTTGCTTAGCCGAAATTGCAACCGGAGAGAAACAAGGTGACCATCACTAAATCTACAGCAGTTGCGAACGCAAACATTTCGGGGGCCTGTCAAGGCCAAGAAGTTTGGACCTCTGGATGCAGGTTGCTTTGGACTTGGGGCCATTCTGGTCAAACTCTGGTTGGCCTGGAGAGACCTTTCGTTCATGGGCGGCGATACTTCATGAAACATCCTAAGCGGTGAAGCTTTGGATGAGGTTGAACTTGCGCTACACTTTTGTGTTCGATGCCCATGGCAAGCCGGATCAGTGCGCAGCTGCACCCGCTGAACGGAAATTCTGCAAGCATGCTGTTTGGCGAAGCTTCAGGGCGATGGGTCCGCAAAGAAAGAAATTCAACACGTGAACACAAGAACAAGGCACAACCCGAGGGCAAGACATATAAGCAAGATAATCCATGCCCGGCATGGATTGTCTCTGAGTCTGATTCCTTGTGCCATACCTGCATCGAGCCAGAGCCATACTGCAAGCCCAGGTACGCATCGAAGGCCATGTCCAGGTCATCATCCAGCGGCGTGTCAGCAGCTTTCACTGGGGACCTCAAAGAAGTTTTCACCGCAACCTCCAATTCCCCCCCCCCCCATCGGGCAAGGACATACCTCAACTCGCCAAACCTGCGAGACTTCAAATTTGATCTCAGTACACAGAAACCTGGGAGCTTCAATAATTCGATCTCAGCAACTTGCCCATTGCGCCCCTAATGCATAGACAAACTCCTGCCATGACTCCCGTCTTCGCCAAGCCATCGTGCTTGGCCCCCCTGCAAGCCAGCACTCAGGCTGGTCGCCGCCGGTGCCTGTCAGAAGACTCAAAAGGCAAACATGTACTGCTCACTTTGGGGGCCTATGGGTGTGTTGTTTGAAGCTCGGTACCCTTTTCACCGTGGTTTGAAGGGAAACCAAAGGGACAACCACAATTGTTTGGGTCCACGCCCAATGCAACATGCTGAAATGACGTTCCCCCTATTGTACCTCGAAAGTGTCAGTGTCAGGCAAGCTTTGCTTCCGTTGATCGAATACAGAACTGCCCGTTCCCAGGTGCTAGGAACCGCAGATTCGCGCCTTGTCCATCCTAGGCCGCGGCGCGAGGATGCGAAATCAGTGCTCTTGAGGGTTGCCATCACTTTTCCACATGCTGCCACAGTGGACAAAAATGATCCTCTCGCATTTTTGTCCGTCATTTTGCTGGCACACAAAGGTATCATTTAATGTTTGAGCTTGGCAGTCTTGATGAGCCTTCTATAGCACCAAACAGCATGACATCTGCATGGCCAAACCGGTGTCAAAAGAAAACATACAACCAAATGCAACATACATGCAATTGAATGTCCCAACAGCCTTTGTCTACGTGGCAAGGGTTCTCCAGCATCCCTTTAAAAGAGTAAATGATGCTGTCACCCCGAGCACACACATGATGACATGTGCATGCATCAAACTGGGATTCTCGGCTTGGTTCCAGGAAACTAAGATGAAGCATGGCTGTGGCTCAAACAAATGGAATCACAGGCTAAACGCTGCTCAAGCCTAGCCGTTGCTTTGTGCCACGCCCACATAAAGGGGTCTAACCAGCTTCGCATTCCCACGCGTAGCGCCATGGCCCTTTGGCCCGGGGACTAAGGCCCCCGGCGCTTCGTTCTCCGAGCAGGTGGCATCGCTCTGGCGCAAGGAACTCGAGCGCCAACCCGCTGACTCTTGGGTGACCGCATGCTTGCAAGGTTTCAATAGGCCGTACTACAGCTCCTATGAAACCAGTGTATATGCATGATAATATATGTTCATATATTATAGATCGCATACTAATTTACATGATACGTATTATATACACACACACATTCACGCTTACGAGCCCTGTGGTTCCATCGTTTGCGCCGACATTTCCAGGAACGTGAAGGCAAACCGCACCCAAAGTACTGGTACTTTCGGAGTACTTCTAAGGACCCAGGATCTGAGTTCAAAAAACCTCTGGAGCATCGCGGCCTGCTTTTTTTTTCTTTGGGGGGGGGGGAAGGAGCTACACTTTTGGGGATCTGTGATTCCAGGGCTGTGTGAGATCTTGGATCCTGACAGGTTTCTGAATTGCGGTCCTGGGCTTCTCAGTTGTTCAGTGACCCTGGCAAAAAAAGGGAACCCTTTTGGGGAAGACCATTTTTGTGGGGCAGCCACCAAAAAAAGGGGGAGACAGGGTGCCACTGAACAACTGAGGCTTGGTGGAAACCGATCTTCAAGCCGCGGGCAAGCCTCAGACATGAGCCCTTGGCACGTGTCTCACGTGTCGGCTTTCACTCCGCAGTGATCACAAAGGCATCACGACACGAGATCCCAAAACGGAGCAGCGTTGAAGTCCATCTGGTCCCTGCCTCTGCATCGGCACCCCTGAGCGCAGGGTAGAACCGTCTCTGATCTGCACTGATTGAAGGGTGCGTCACCTTGGTTTGAACAGAAGCAAAAAAGGAACACCACTGTTTGAATCCGTGTTTTCGGGGCCAAGTCCCTGTTTTGACACCAGAATTCACCCGGAAGTGCTCGCCAAAAAGTCGGTCGAATTGTCAGGCGGGGTGGCCAAAGCAATATATTGCAACAGGGAACAGCAATGAAACCAGGCCCTGGTTTCAAGCATGTTCAGATTAGCCACGTGTTTAAATGACTTCCCTTTGGGCTTGCCTTTTTTTGAAAGGGGACCAGGGGACTGGTTCTTAAAACCCATGTGCCCAACCATAACAAAAATGAATCCTGAGACATCCAAAGCAAACCGAAACCAAACCTTTCAGCTCAGGCAGCCGCTGTGCGGTTTGGGCCGGCTTGCCCTTTGGGCCTTTCGGGCCTTTCCTCAGCGCCCAAAAACTTGAGGGACCCTTGATGCAACTTCCGGGGGCTTGGCACACCGGTTTCCATGGCAAGCTGGCAATTGGGGAAGCTGAGGGCATCTACAAACGCCGCCTTCGTCTGGCCTGGAAGAAAGCGCCCGCGAGCAACCTTTGCAACCTTACGCCCAAGTATTGGCCAGCATCGTTCGTTTCCCCTGCATCGGGGTACCATGTCTGGGGACTATACGAGTAGCTGACCCTGTAAGCTCCGCTACTTTAGTCATTGATCCGAAGCCGCGAATCACAATTATCCAAATCTGCCCCGGAGCTGCTAAACAATCAGCAGAAGGGTGTTCTGAAAATCAAGAGATATGCAGGAAATAGCGTTTACAACAACCAGCAATAGCATACATTTCCAGAAACTCAACAGCCGATTCATCTGAGGCGAAGTCTTTCCACCTTTTCCTGTTGCTGCTGGTGTGGGCTTGGCGGCTGCGTCCGCGCTTTCAGCTGCAACCTGCGCATAGCAGTTCGAATGATTGAACAGAGTTGGCATAGAGCTGCCATCCCTCACGTGCAAGCTCTTGATTGAAGCTCATAAAGACCAAAGCGGCCGCCTCTGGTGCGCTTTCCGAAGGAGCAACAGCAGCGGGCCTGGTTGCCGTGCGCTTCATTCTGTGTGCCTGCTTTGTCATGCATCTGCTGTAAGTCTGAATGTGTCTCCATCTGCCTCCAAATTGAGTGTCTTCTCTTTACTCTTGCCACTTGCTAGAGTTCAAACAGTGAAGCAAGATTGAAGAAATTGCATTCCTCCAAGTGTGGCGAATGCCACGCACAAGCACAACTAGATCACAGCAAACGGTCCAACAGCCATCAGGCATTTCAATCCATCCGGAACTTGAATCAATCGGCCAGCCCATCCCAATGTTGCAGCATCTCAGGCTAGCACTCAGCTGCCGCAGGCTCTGCGGCTGCTGGGGCAGGAGCAGGAGGCCCCTTTGGGCCTTTTGGGCCTTTCCTCAGCCGACTGCATGCCGCGACTTTCTTGCATGACGCGAAACTCATGCACTGCTCTAACCGAGTGCAAACGACTCTTGGCGCATAAACATCTCACAACGAGCATGGTGGACTCCAAAAACATTCTTCCATCACCAAGGTTGCCACCAGAATTTCCTGCCTGAGAGGTATCACTACTCATTCACCAAGAGTTCAGCCAAAACGCATACGTTACTGCAAAAATAACAATAACTACGTAGATCTCCTGAAATCGAAAGGCTCAAGCAATCTGAGGCGGAGTCTTTCCACCCTTTCCTGTTGCCGCTGGTGTTGCTGCCGGCGTGGCGGCTGATGCATCGGCGCTTTCAGCTGCCACCTACACACAGCACTTTCGCATGATTCGCCAGAACTGGCCTACCACCGACAGTCTGCACATGCGAGCTCTTGCTTGCAGTTCATGGGCTTGTCATTGTCAGTGCAAAAGGCCGCCTCTGGTGTGCTTTCCGAAGGAGCAACAGCGGCGGGCCTGGTTGCTGTGCGCTTCCCTCTCGGCCCGCTTTGTCATGCATCTGCTTTAAGTCTGAATGTGTCTCCATGTGACTCCAAATGAACGTGCAGCATCTCAGGCTAGCACTCAGCTGCCGCAGGCTCTGCGGCTGCTGGGGCAGGAGCAGGAGGCCCCTTTGGGCCTTTTGGGCCTTTCCTCAGCCGACATAGCCCGAAACTCATGCACCGCTCCAAACGAGTCTAGGCGACTCTTGGTGGATCATTACTCAAAACGATCACCCATCCTCCCCAGCCCTTCTTTGTGTCACTCTACACCTGGCTGCAGCTACTGAGCAAACACAAGTGTGTCCTGAAACTGAGGCGGAGTCTTTCCACCCTTGCCTGTTGCCGCTGGTGTTGCTGCTGGCGTGGCGGCTTCTGCGGCGGTGCTTTCAGCTGCAACCTGCACGCAGCACTTTGCTTGATTTTCCAGAGCACGACTATCATCACATTATGCTGAACCTGCAACTCTTGCTTGCAAACTGGTTGTAACAGCGTAAACAACGGCCTCCGGTGCGCTCTCCGAAGGAGCAACAGCAGCAAACCTGGTTGCTTGTGTCTCACTGATTGTTCCATGATGTTCTTTGCACTTGCCAAAATTCTAACATCGCAGCTAGATTCAGCAAAGAAGCGCCGTCGTCCAAGACATGTGGAACATGCAACGCACTAGCATGGGGAAAAAGCTCCAGCCATCAGGCATGTCAAGTCATGCAGAATCTGCATCAATCCGCCAGCCCTACCCGATGTTGCAGCATCTCAGGCTAGCACTCAGCTGCCGCAGGCTCTGCGGCTGCTGGGGCAGGGGCAGGAGGCCCCTTTGGGCCTTTTGGGCCTTTCCTCAGCCGACATGGCGTGAAACTCATGCTCTAAACGAGTCCAGGCTACTCTTGGTGGATCATAACTCAAACCGACCACCCGTGCTCCCCAGCCCTTCTAGTGTCGTTTAGTGTCATTCTACACCTGGCTGCAGCTACTGAACAAGCACAAGCGTGTGACGAAAATTACGAGTTCAGCAAACAAGTATAATCCAACAAAACACACCAACACACATGCCTCAAAATGCAACTGATCGAGCAATCTGAGACAGAGTCTTTCCTTTCCCGGTTGCCGCTGGTGTTGCTGCTGGGGTGGCTGCTGCGTCCGCGCTGTCAGCTGCAACCTGCACGCAGCACTTTGCTTGATTTTCCAGAGCACGCCAATCAATGACATTCAACGACATGCTGAGTCTGAAACTCTTGCTTGCAAACTACTTATCACGGAATAAACAACCGCCTCCGGTGCGCTCTCCGAAGGAGCAACAGCAGCAGACCTGGTTGATGTGCACTGCATTCTCTGTGCCTGCTTCCTTGTGCTACTGCTGTAGTCTAAATGTGTCTGCATTTGACTCCGACTGAATACCTGCATGATGTTCTTTCCACTTGCTGAAGTTCTAACGTTGCGCTGATGGCATGTCAAGTCATCCAGAATCTGCATCAATCCGCCAGCCCTACCCGATGTTGCAGCATCTCAGGCTAGCACTCAGCTGCCGCAGGCTCTGCAGCTGCTGGGGCAGGAGCAGGAGGCCCCTTTGGGCCTTTTGGGCCTTTCCTCAGCCGACTGCATGCCGCGACTTTCTTGCGTGACGCGAAACTCCTGCACTGCTCTAACCGAGTCCAGACGACTCTTGGTGGACCCACCTACGCTGCCCAAAGCTTTTCAGAACTGCATTCGTGCTACTTGCCACACATCTGCCTCTTTGTCTAACAGCCTGATAAGCTGCATCGCTGAAGCCTCCTAAGTTTCCCAAGCCAACATTGCCCCGTCCACATATCTGCCCGAGAGGCATTACTACCCATTCACCTTACCTTGCTTCATCTACTGAACAAAACGTATAAGCGAGCCTTGGAAATAAGAGTTCAGCCAAACGCATGCATTAATAATAACAACACTGATGAACTACATACATCTCCTAAAATCGAACGGCTCAAGCAATCTGAGGCGGAGTCTTTCCACCCTTTCCTGTTGCCGCTGGTGTTGCTGCCGGCGTGGCGGCTGATGCATCGGCGCTTTCAGCTGCCACCTACACACAGCACTTTCGCATGATTCGCCAGAACTGGCCTACCACCGACAGTCTGCACATGCGAGCTCTTGCTTGCAGTTCATGGGCTTGTCAGTGCAAAAGGCCGCCTCTGGTGTGCTTTCCGAAGGAGCAACAGCGGCGGGCCTGGTTGCTGTGCGCTTCCCTCTCGGCCCGCTTTGTCATTCATCTGCTTTAAGTCTGAATGTGTCTCCATGTGACTCCAAATGAACGTGCAGCATCTCAGGCTAGCACTCAGCTGCCGCAGGCTCTGCGGCTGCTGGGGCAGGAGCAGGAGGGCCCTTTGGGCCTTTTGGGCCTTTCCTCAGCCGACATAGCCCGAAACTCATGCACCGCTCCAAACGAGTCTAGGCGACTCTTGGTGGATCATAACTCAAAACGATCACCCATCCTCCCCAGCCCTTCTTTGTGTCACTCTACACCTGGCTGCAGCTACTGAGCAAACACAGGTGTGTCCTGAAACTGAGGCGGAGTCTTTCCACCCTTGCCTGTTGCCGCTGGTGTTGCTGCTGGCGTGGCGGCTTCTGCGGCGGTGCTTTCAGCTGCAACCTGCACGCAGCACTTTGCTTGATTTTCCAGAGCACGCCTATCATCACATTATGCTGAACTTGCAACTCTTGCTTGCAAACTGGTTGTAACAGCGTAAGCAACGGCCTCCGGTGCGCTCTCCGAAGGAGCAACAGCAGCAAACCTGGTTGCTTGTGTCTCACTGATTCTTCCATGATGTTCTTTGCACTTGCCAAAGTTCTAACATTGCAGCTAGATTCAGCAAAGAAGCGCCGTCATCCAAGACAAGACATGTGGAACATGCAACGCACTAGCATGTGGAAAAAGCTCCAGCCATCAGGCATGTCAAGTCATGCAGAATCTGCATCAATCCGCCAGCCCTACCCGATGTTGCAGCATCTCAGGCTAGCACTCAGCTGCCGCAGGCTCTGCGGCTGCTGGGGCAGGGGCAGGAGGCCCCTTTGGGCCTTTTGGGCCTTTCCTCAGTCGACATGGCCTGAAACTCATGCACCGAGTCGAGGCGATGCTTGGTGGATGCGTCTGCGCCTGGCTGCAGTTACTGAACAAAAACACAAAGACGGTGCTGCAAAAAAGAGCTCAGTCAGGCAACAAGCAGTATATATCTTCAAGCTTCATACCACTGGCGGCTATTCACTTTCCCGAAACGCAACCTCTGCAGCAATCCGAGGCGGAGTCTTCCCTTTCCCTGCCGCTGGTGTTGCCGCCGGCGTGGCTGCCGCGTCAGCGCTTTCTGCAACCTGCGCGGAGCTGTATGAGCCACCAAATCACGCCTATCGACATCCTTAACCTGCAACTCTTACTTGCAGTCTCCATATAGTTCGTGAACAGCCGCCTCCGGTGCGGCTTCCGAAGAAGCAACAGCAGCAGACCTGGTTGCCGCGCACTGCATTCTCTTCGCCGGCTTCCATATCGGTCTGTTTAGTCTAAAATGTGTCTGCATCTGACTCCGATGGAATCATGACGCCCTTTCCACTTGCCGGCGCTTTAACATTGCAGCTAGATTCAGCAAAGAAGCCCCCAGCCACCGGGCGTGTCAAGTCATCCAGGATCTGCATCAATCCGCCAGCCCTTCCCAATGTTGCAGCATCTCAGGCTAGCACTCAGCCGCCGCAGGCTCTGCGGCTGCTGGGGCAGGAGCAGGAGGCCCCTTTGGGCCTTTTGGGCCTTTCCTCAGAGACTGCATGGTGGATCATGACTCATAACGCTCAATTACTCATCCGCCCCAGCCCTCCTAGTGTCATTTAGTCTCATTTAGTTTCATTCTACGTCTGGCTGCAGCTGCCGAACACACCAAAGTGGCTCCTAGAAATCACAAGTTCACACAACAAGAATACTCCACCAAATCATCGTCAAATGCTAACATTGCCCAAAAGTCAGAAGCTGGAGCAATCTGAGGCGGAGTCTTCCCTTTCCCTGCCGCTGGTGTTGCCGCCGGCGTGGCTGCCGCGTCAGCGCTTTCTGCAACCTGCGCGGAGCTGTATGAGCCACCAAATCACGCCTATCGACATCCTTAACCTGCAAGTCTTGCTTGCAGTCTCCATATAGTTCGTGAACAGCCGCCTCCGGTGCGGCTTCCGAAGAAGCAACAGCAGCAGACCTGGTTGCCGCGCACTGCATTTCTTCGCCGGCTTCCATATCGGTCTGTCTTAGTCAAACATGTCTCTGCATCCGACTCCGATGGAATCATGACGCCCTTTCCACTTGCCGGCGCTTTAGCATTGCAGCTAGATTCAGCAAAGAAGCCCCCAGCCACCGGGCGTGTCAAGTCATCCACAATCCGCCAGCCCTTCCCAATGTTGCAGCATCTCAGGCTAGAACTCAGCTGTCGCAGGCTCTACGGCTGCTGGGGCAGGAGCAGGAGGCCCCTTTGGGCCTTTTGGGCCTTTCCTCAGAGACTGCATGGTGGATCATAACTCATAACCATAAAATTACTCATCCGCCCCAGCCCTCCTAGTGACATTCTACGCCTGGCTGCAGCTGCTGAACAAACCAAAGCGGCTCCTAGAAATCACAAGTTCAGGCAACAAGAATACTCCCCCAAATCATCGTCAAATGCTAACATTGCCCAAAAGTCAGAAGCTCGAGCAATCCGAGGCGGAGTCTTTCCTTTCCCTGCCGCTGGTGTTGCTGCTGGTGCTGCTGCTTCGGCGCTTTCAGCCGCAACCTGCGCGCGTCTGTTCATCAAACCATGCTGGAGGATTTTTTTTTTAAATTTACCATGAACATTATCCCAAGTAGTCCTTTCCTTTTCGTCTGGTGGAGAAGGCCATGCTTTCAAAGGCCGAACTGTGCTGCCTGTGCCCCGCTTTCCGCAGGAGCAGCAGCAGACCTGGGTACCAGAGTGAGGCTCCCACTCTGGCCCAACATCAAAAGCCGATAGCCTACAGCCAGAAGCTTTAGATATGCAGATTTTACTATGATTCCAAAAGCTGAATTAAGAATCGGATCCCCAAGTAAAGGACCTTTCTCATGGTGAGCGCGTTAGCTCGCTATAAACTAGGCAGATCAGATGCAACCCCGTTCTTGACATTCCGGCTTTCTACAACTTTTGTGGCTGAGGCGAATCTCAGCCTTGGGGAAGCCGGTATCACGTTCTCAGGCAGCCGCTCAGGAGCGGCCGCGACAGGAGCGGGTGGTCCTTTGGGTCCTTTCGGGCCCTTCCTCAGTGCGCAGACGGCCCAATGCTCAAAATTGATCATGTAGGCCAAACAATCTGAAGAGGTTTGAACCAGCGAACACACTGACGATGCGCTCGCCCTCAAGCAAGCATGAGGCCTCCTTTTCTCAACATTTGTGTGTCACTGGTGTCTGAGAGGCATGGGTCTTCACCCGACTGGGATGAGCCTCCAAGTGACTTGGTTGCCAAATAGAGGTTCTGGAAAACCCAAACGCATCGATTCCCCATTCACTTGTTGTTTCCAAAAGAAATCAGCGGCTTCAGGAACCCCACGACTCAACGACTCGCTCTGAGGCCTTGACTTGCCCTTCCCAGCTGGCGCCGCTGACGCCTGAGGCGCCGAAGAGCTCAAGAGCATAGTCAAACCCGGTATTAAAATGGTCTACCCAGAACAATGTAAAGAACTAAGGCGGCCGCTGCTATTTTTGGTTGGGATTGTCCTAACCTTCATCTACCCGGGGTTTGGTTGTGGCTCAGGGTTTGCCTCTTTTCCCCATCGGCAAGCAGAAGATGATTCTGTCTTTCTTTGGAGTTCGTACCCCTTTTTGCTCTGTTGTAGAGGGAAACCAAAAGGAACACCCACAATTTGGCGGGTCCCCAAAAAGAAGATAGACCCGACTAGGATGTTCAGATTCTATTGAGTCAAGCCTAATATGTGGAGTCCCAGTCTAAAACCGAAAAGGGTACCCTGACAAGCGGCCAGCCAAGAACTCAAAGCAACTTGGCGTTCTTTCTGTTTGCCGGGAGCTTAAAACAAAAACTCTTCTCAAGGCACACTGGACCGGAAGCGCCGTGGAGGCTCCGTGGAGCAACTATAGTTCCTGGCCAAAAAGTATGCGCATTTCATTTACAAACCTCTGGGAGGAACAGATTCTGCATGGATGTTTGCAGGCTTCACGCAGGAGTTGTGCTAGGACGCTTTCCTCACATCTGGTTGCAATTGTTCGAATGCTCAGGGGGGCAACACAAAGATGTACCCTTCAACTGGCCTTCTCTGAGTAAAGCTATCCATGCGGCACTACGAACTTTGTTCAGAACCTCAGCCCACCAGGTTGCCATTCTTGCCGTGGAACCTGGATCGTTAGATGCTGGTTTCCAATCCACTTGACCCCAAAAACCAACAGCGACCGAAAGAAACAGCAACTTGGCTATCTAACCCAGCCCGTCGGAGACCTGCCTCTGCCCCTGTCCTTAGTGCAAGCAAGGTGCAAGCTGCAAGGTGCAAGCTGCAATGGAAGGCTGGCTGAGCGAGTCAACTGCAAACCCAACGTGAGTGTCTTAAGTTCCTGCTGCCTCAAGTTGCTCGTAGCTTTGCAGAAAATTATTTTGCAAAGCAACACATTGGCAGGTCATGTCGTGCCATGAAAGCCATGTCATGTCCATGTGGGGGGCCCACATGGAGAACAGCTTAAGCCCTTTGATTTGAACCACCCCCAAAAGAACACACCCAAGAGGGTCCCCCGCCTCACCCCCCCCGGAACCCCATCATCTTCCTAAGCCATCGCCGTCTGAGGCACCGACGCAGCTGCCAAGGCCTCTGGTTGTAGTGAAGAGGCCTGGAGATTTCGGACAGTAAATGAGAGGGCCGTTGTTGGGTGGCTTTCCATTTCCTGATAGGGGCCACGAACCCGAAGGCAGACTACAATCCCAAGAAGAGGACTCCCCAAGACATCCTCCTGACATCCCCTTCAGACCCAAAGTAAGTCATGCCCAAAGACATCACCCAGGAAGACCGTAACACCAACCCTATTCACTACACGCCGCGCCACAGCGAGAGCAATTCGACCCACCCAAAGTGCGCAGCGTGTTCAGCCCGGGTCTTAAAAAATGCGCGCCGCGTCACAGCGAGAGCGATTCGACCTACTGAAAGTGCCGCGCCTTCCCCGAAGTTTGCACGAGAAGCGCCCAAAGTACCGCGCCTGCCACGCAATTTTGCACCAAGAGCATTAAAGTGCTGCGCCTGTCACGCAAAGCAATTGCCACGTTCGAGCGACGCAGCCAAAATTAGCACGACTGTGGCGCCAGCGTGATTTCGACCGAGTTTGGTAAAGTTCAAGCTCGCCAAAACGAGCCGATTGCACGACAGGGCCAACGAAAATAACACCCGCGCAAACGCTTGCGCTCACGCCTGCCAAGCAAGACACCTCGAAGCAACCACCCCTGAAACACGACCTCGCAATACACTGCGCCTGTGCAGTGAAACGAAATGCAACGCTGCAAATGATGCGATTCACGCACAGGCACAACGAATTCAGCGCTTGAAGACTCATCGAAAAGTCACTAATCCCGGCGAGCGCGGCACTCGCGGCCACAAACGGCTTATGAACGCTTCGCGCATGTAAACGTTCGGATTCTGGACACCTCCTGACCCCCGGACCCCCAACCTCCAAACGGGAACCCTTCTGCTACGCCTTTTGGGAAAACAAAACACCCATCGTTTTGGTTGGACATCCGGACTTGGGAACTTGAAAAGAAGTAAGAGCACGGAGCGGGGATACCTTGCGAGCCACCCGGACCTCAAAAGCTCTACATTTCCAGTTTTTAAAACTGGGCCCGCACGTTCTAGGCGGTCTATGCTCCCTGGGCCCCATTGACTGGGTGCACAGCAGGGCCCGAGCGGTACACCAAACGCCGAATGCAGCCGCATGGCTCAAGCAAAACACGGAACAAGGAAGGCATCACTCCAATCGACGAATACTTTTCCTGACTAAGCTTTGATATGTTACACACGTTACATGTTGTTTGGATCGATGGCTTGGATCGGCTCGATGCTTGGCCGCTTTGCCAAGCCTTCCCATGCCGAATCTCCGAACAGCCCCAGTCGGCCCTCGCCGCGCCTCAGGAGCAGCAGCAGCAGGCCTGGGCAGGTCTCGGGGTGTTTCGTCTTCTGCGAAATCCAAGCCATACACACCACTGGTATCCACTTGCAGTTGCTAACGGCAATTACTAGGTCCTCAAGATTTGAGAGCTTAGAATAAGGGGGGCACCAACTTTTTCTGTAGTCTATTTTAGTAGGGGAACCGTCCCCCAAAAAGGAAGCGGTAAAAGTTGGCACCTAGCTGGGGGACCTAGATTAACATCTTGGGTTGTCGCACCCATGCAACGGGTGCCGCAACATCCATTGGCTGCGCAGGGAAAAAACTCGGAAGATCCGGGGAACGGTTCAACCATTCACAGCTTTCAGCCACGGCTTTGGTGCTTGCAAATGCACTTCTGAGAGGTTATAGGGTTGCTTATAGGGTTGCTCGCGATATCGGAGACATGCTTCCAATGAGTAGTCTCCAAACTATGCCTTGTGACCTTGAACGACGGAGTTCCCCCCTTTTACAGAGACCCACATCTTCCATTCACACTCCCCTGTGCGTCTGCGCCTGCACAGGCATGTGTGTGCGTGTGTGTGTCCTTGGCAGCCACCTTTCGGGGAAGAACGTCGCCCGCCCCCGAGCTGATATACACAGCACACACACACAGAAGTCAATCAATCAATCAATCAATCAATCAATCAATCAATCAATCAATCAATCAATCAATCAATCAATCAATCAATCAATCAATCAATCAATCAATCAATCAATCAATCAATCAATCAATCAATCAATCAATCAATCAATCAATCAATCCAATCCAATCCAATCCAATCCAATCCAATCCAATCCAATCCAATCCAATCCAATCCAATCCATCAATTCAATCCTATCCTATCCAATCAATCAAATCAATCCAATCCAATCCAATCCAATGAATCAAACAATCAATCAACCAATCAACCAACCAACCAACCAATCAATCAATCGAACCAATCCAATCAAATCAATCCAATCCAATCAATGAATTAATCAAATCAATCCAATCCAATCCAATCAAACAATCAATGAATCAATGAATCAATGAATCAATGAATCAATGAATCAATGAATCAATGAATCAATGAATCAATGAATCAATGAATCAATGAATCAATGAATCAATCCATCAATCAATCAATCAATCAATCAATCCAATCAATCCAATCCAATCCAATCCAATCCAATCCAATCAATCAATCAATCAAATCATTCCAATGCAATCCAATCCAATCCAATCCAATCAATCCCTCAATCAATCAATCAATCAATCCAATCCAATATAATCCAATCCAATCCAATCCAATCCAATTCAATTCAATGCAATCCAATCCATCAATTCAATCCTATCCTATCCAATCAATCAATCAAATCAATCCAATTCAATCCAATCAATCAATCAACCAATCCATGCATCCATCCATCCATCCATCCGTCCATTCATCCGTCCATCCATCCAATCAATCCAATCCAATCCAATCCAGACAATCAATCAAATCAAGTCAAAACAAATGAAATCAATCAAATCAATCAAATCCGATCAAGTGAAATCAAATCAATCAAACAAACAAATAAACAAACAAACAATCAAACAATCAAACAATCAAACAATCAAACAATCAATCAATCAATCAATCAATCAATCAATCCAACCCAACCGAACCCAACCCAATGCAACCCAACCCAACCCAACCCAACCCAACCCAACCCAACCCAACCCAACCCAATCCATCCAATGAATCAGATCAAATCAAATCAAATATAATAAACAAAAAAAACAAAACAATTCAACCAATCAATCAATCAAAGCACGCAAGCGAACAGGCAACAACGCAAAACAAAACACACAAACACACAAAGAAGCAAACTAGCAAGCAAGAAAGCAAGCAATCAAAGCAGCAAACAATCAACCACACAAACAACCAAAACAAATCGACAGAAAGCAAACCAACCAACCAACAAAGCCAACAAACAAACCAAACCAAAACAAAACAAACAAATCAAGCAAACAAACAAAACAAGCAAGAACCGCACGCAAACAAATCAGCAAACAAACAACCACACGACAAACAAACAACCCCATGACAAACAACCAACCAAACATACAATTTATAAAAAAAAAGCAACAAAAAAATCAAACAAACAAACAAAACACAACAAACAATCAACAAACCAACCATACAAACACATAACAACGGGTTCTTGGACACAGCGTGCTCCGAGCGGCTTTGCCTTCCCCTTGCCCGGCGGCGGCATCTTGCCCTTGCCCTTCGGAGCCGGTGCTGCGCCCGCGGCGCCGGCGTCGCCTGCGACTGAGGGGTCCTGGAAGTCGAATCTCCTGTGGGGAGCCTCTGGTGGGTTTCATGATAGTGTAGCAGGCCTCACAGACTCTAAGAAAAATTGTCTTTGTATAATCCTCCACATGCCCCCTGCCCTTTTATACAATTTGAAGCAGAGGGTTCCACGATAGTGGACAGGACGGTTAGCCCAGGCCCATTTTCAAAGTCATGTCTCTTGTTCAGGGGAGTCCCTCTGGGCTGGAAGATGTGACCCATCCTCTAGTGAAACTTTGCTCTCATCTGTGAGTGCATCCGCCTTTTGGACAACAAATGCCACATTCGCCTGTTCCCAACACACGGAAGTGGAAAACTCCGGGGTTGTGATACCAAAGGCCATGTTTCAAGACTACTTCTTGGCTTCAAAGGAGCATGGTTGGTCAGTCACGGTCAGTCTAGTAGGCGGGTTTCCTTGGTTTCCCTTTAGAACCCTCAAACACAAATACCCTCGAACAAATTAGACCGGCATGGAAGATTACAACAGCACCCTGACCAGCACCCAAACAACGTAGCAAGCACCAAATCAACTTAAGCCACCAAGCAGCACCCTGACCGCAGCAACGCCTTACACGCCAAACAAGCACCACCAGCGGCACCGCAGCTTGAGCACATCAAAAACACCCTCACCCTGACCCCAGCACCCTGACCAGCACCCTGACCAGCACCCTGACCAGCACCCTGACCAGCACCCTGAGCAGCACCCTGACCAGCACCCTATAGCACCCTCACCAGCACCCTGACCAGCACCCACAACAACACCCTGCCTGCATCGCCAAAGAAGCACCACGAGAGCATAAAAAAGCCCCCTCACCCCAAACAGCACCCAGGCGCACCCTGACTGAAGCGCCAAACAAGCTGCCAGTCACCACCACAGCACCTTTGCGAACATAGCACCAGCACCCTGACCAGCACAGCACCTGACTGCAGCCCCTGACCAGCACCCTTTACCAGCACCCTGACTCAGTGCCAAACAAGTCCCAAATGACCACCAGCACAGCACCAGACACCATGACCCTGACCAGCACCTGACCCTGACCAGCACCCTGACCACCATTGCCAAACAAGCCCGACAAACCGGACCTAGAGCAACGCACTGACCAGCACCCTGGCTTACAAGCACACAAGCAACACCTGAGCACGCAAACAGCACCGGCACCCTGACCACCCCTGACCAGCACCCTGACAACAGCGCCAAACAAGCACGCCAGTCAGCGCACAAACCCGATCCTATCCTCGCCACCAGCACCCGATTTCGTTGACCAAACCAAGCCTCTTTAGCAAGAACCCCAATAGCTAAAGCTATATTCTAGGGGTTGATCCCCCATTCTTTTCAAGCATCGTTCTTTTCAAAAACCGGCTGTTTCGTCTGGTTTCCTGAAAAGAAGGATCCCTGGAAAGGATGGAATTGGAAGGTACCCCTAGATATCTGGGAAAACCTCGACTCTGGCAACCTCCGCCCTCCAAAAACCGCCGCAGCCGCTCGGCCTGCGGCGCCTGCGGCGCCTGCGGCGGCGCCTTCCGCCTCCTTCGCGGCCTCGAGTCGATGGATTTGGGCGTTTCCGGGGTTCCCCCACTTGGGATGGCACAAAGTTGGACCACGTGGCTGTGCATTTCAACTTGGCTCCGTAGGACAATCATTTAGGTGAATTTTGTATTTCCACCCGCCACCTTTCAGGGGTTCTGGCCCCATCAAGACTCGCTTGTAGCGGGCGAAACGGGAAGACTCAGGACAGAAACCCTTGGCTTTCCTCAAAGGTAAGTCCTTGTTTTTGCCAACTCCTTTACTACCCCAAAAGAGTTTCATAACACAAGAAGCTTGGTTCAGTCTGGGAATGCAGCATAGAGACAGCCAAAAGCGGATGGAGCTGGAGCACCACTCAAGCCCATAAGTTTCTGCATTCCCGCGGTCAGTGGAGGGGAAACGTCCAAAAAACACTCCGTTCGAACAGGGCACGGTGCCAACACAATGGGCATCTTTGCAAGCCTCCTATCAGCTGCCTAGTTGCCTGATAGGCTAATTTCGGGCTGGTTGAACACACGGACAAAACGTTGCCTGCGTCGAGGGAGACCCTTGGCCAGACTCATCACTTGCTATCAGGCAGACAAAACATCATAAGCCACGCTATCACATGAAGCATAGGATGGGCACTGGCTTCTGGACATGGTCCTCGAAAAAATATGGGCATGTTCCGAGAGCGCAACTATTCTCTGAAAAGCACCCCCAAGATCACGGCCACAGGATCAAGGGCTTTGTTTCAGTGTTTCCGGACTCCTAGCTGGTGTCTGCCTGATCTGGCGATCTTCAGTAGTCTGTTGGCCAAAAGCTTACTAGTCATGGCAGGAAGGGGGTGGGTCATCCGCAGCAAGTACTCTCAATCATGAAACCCCCGATCTCATAGGTAGCCTCCTAATTCCCTCAAAATATGCTGATGATGAACAGTGCCCTTCCAAAATTCCTGGGGTGCAGCTGATCAAGTCACTTCCCCAACAAACCGCCCCGTGCGGGTCCAACTAAGCCGGCGGCAGCAGCAGTTTGAGCATCCCGTAGGCGCTGGGAGAAACGTCGACCTCGGCTTGCCGTAGCCTTGAGATGCTCGAACGGGCGCTTAGCATACGATGCTCGGTACCCTGAGAAGACAAGAAGAGGCCACCGTCAAAGTAGGTTTGAAGCGGCAACCCAGGGAAACTGCTCAAATCTTCTGGTGACTGGGTGGGGGGTGTTCAGCTCAAAAAAATCTCACACCCCACTTCTCGCCCATGTTTGTTCTGGGGTCGCTGCGCTTCCTCACTCCTCGCCCTTTCTTCGCTGCCGTGCGCTTGCCATCAAAGGCCTTGCGAGCAGGGCAAAATTGTTGAAATAACCAGCTTCTGGTCGTCTTTAAAGGGAAGCCCAAAGACGGCCTTAAACTAGGGGGTTGGCCCAACCCAACTTGCGAGCTTCGCTTGCAATCACCGAATGCCAACATGATGACCTTCCGCCTACCTTGGAATGGACAAGTTCAGTCGCCCAAGAAGGCTAGAAAGCCACATGCTCAGAAGTTGCAGCACCAGAACCGTGAAATCCCACATCCAAAGCCACGGCCACGTCAACTTCACATCCAGCTGTCGCTCATGGTGCCCGAGTGTCCCCTCTCCACTTACCAAAAGGCAACCCAGGGAAGGCCAGCGCAATGCGCTCGGCAGCCAGCAATGGAGCCCATGAGCCAAATGCCCGAAGCAAATGGGCACAATTCCGTGGGAAACACGGGATGAGCCAAGTGGATGTGTGCTGAATGCACCATGGCTGCTAGAAATAAGTGGATACACAGGTGTGACAATGTTGATGCTTGATTGAGGGCCTGATCAAATGGAGCTGTTCGGATGCCTGGAGCAACGCTATTCAACGAAAAATAGGTCGTGCCGGAAATTGAATAATTGTAGCATTCAACGTACTTATATATATATATATATACATATTGCCAGCTTAACATGATATATCTTTCCAAGCTACGCTTCCACATGCAACACACAAGTGGCAACCTCACAGGTGCCTCCTGCAGGTCCAAACAAAGGGCCCGGACAGGTTGCAGGGCTGAAGGAGGGTTCTCCAAAGGAGAGTGCACCACAACATGGTGTCCAGAACCTTGCCAAGCTTGAGAATAGGAGCAACGTAAGCGCTGCAATTCCGTCTGCACGGTGACTCGGGCCTTGAAGGCCCAGAGCATCTGCAAGTCTTCCTGGCAAGCCAAGCTGGTGAGATAAATGCGGGTTTGACGAGTCTCTCTTTGGATTGTTTTCAGGGCGCCTCATAGGAAAGCTGACGCAAGAGTGCGAGAAACTCAAAATTCGGGGCACCATGCGCGGAACTCGCGAACCCCAATGGGGCGCAGTCTGCATCAAACGAAACACGAGAAGCAAGCTGAAAGGGGCATATTCTTGGAAAGCCCCTGACAGGGGAAGCCAAAGAGGGCACTGTCAGGATTCAGCACACCAAGTATTGGTGCCAACATCACGCAGGCTGAATCTCCTGTTACGCAAATACACTGTAAGCAGATGTCTGCGGTGCAGAAAGACGATCCTCTCCCAACTGACACCCACCAAATCTAGCGGTCCTATTACATCCCTATCCCCTGTCATGAAAGCCAGATAATTAGGGGTTCTCTCAAAGGCACTTGCACCCCAGTGGCCAACTGGGTTCCAAACAGTTCACAATACCAAGGCGCCCTCTCTGCACGCGCTCGAAAACAAGTTTTGGCCAGAAAAAGACAATACAACAACACAACAGCGAACCCACTTCGACGAAACGTGCAGCATGTCTTGCAGGAGTCATTCACTGCTGTATAGGCCTGCGCCGGCAATCAACCTCTGAGGGTTCAAAACCACTGGTGCCGCCCGCAGGTCTACTATTCATCTCAAAAGCTTCGCCTGTCACCCGTCGTGTGCAAGCGTGTCATGAAACTGGGCGCCCCTTTGGTTTGAAGGGTCCCAAAAGCCGTCGCGTTGGTTTTGCCCCAGTTCGCCCCATGTTGCACGTGCCAGCGGCGCTGCGGAGACCGGCTTGTTCTGGCAAAAGCTGGGGATCATAAACTCCTCACGCGGAATTGGCGAAATCTTGCAGAGGCTGATTGCTTGCATCGTTGACATCCTGGATTGCTCTCCTCTGGATTGCTCCCCCGAAAGGATGACCAGAGTGGAACGCTCACCAAAACATACACAACCGAGACAGCAAGCCAGGCAGCATTAGGGATGAGAGATCTCCAAAATATAGGCCTATCTATCCATTGATCATTGGGTTCATATTTATGCATGCTGACTGTGCTCCTGTACCTTGATTTGAGCCTCTGCAATGATGGCATGTGCACCGACGCCCCCTTGCAGTTGTTAAACATGCTAACACACCAGCCGTGGAACAAGACCGATCACACGCATTGTGTGCAACCTTGTGGGGTTTCTGAAAGACGTGCAAATCAACATGGCAGCTTCCCATTTATGTCGTGGCTCAAGTAGGTTTTGGGGCTTGTACCTGTCTTGAGGGAGGCCTGACATCTTTCATATGTCTTGGAAGAGCTGGCATGTCTGATCAATTTGCGTGGCCTTCCTTGCTTTCCTGGCTCCAGCTCAAAGACCAGTCGCCCCCGGACACACCAGCTGAGTCTGGGAAGCCACCCCTAAACGTTGCATGGGAGGTGTGGTTTCAGAGGCCCTCCATTGGCCCCATTGGGAAAACAAGAAGGGAACAACGGAAACAACAACTCTGCATTTTGGTCTGGGAGGCAAAAAACGAAACACATCAAGAACCCCCCCCCCCTCTCCGGATCGTTTTTCTCGCGTCCTTCTTCATCTTCACGTCGGCGTTGACGATGAGATTCCCGGGGACCAGCAGGTTGTCCCAGAGCAGGCAGAAGTCGCTGCTCTTCATCGCCTGGATCTTGAACCACTTCAGCAGCTGCGCCTCAAAAAGCGCATGGTATTTACGGCGAAAACACACGGGCCCCCCATGGCTGTGGGTCAAAAATAGGGCAACCTCAAAATGGAACCCTGGTAAGTGGAAGCATGGAGTAAAACCTGCGGTCCCCTGGTGGTTTCATTTTGACCCATACCCCTATCCAGGACGATTCTCAGAACCCTTCCAAAGGTTGGAAGAACCTTTCCTGGGTACTGGTTGTTTGGGTAAGCAGGGCATGAGTCGCCGAGTGGCTTCTTTATTTTTTCAATTTTGGAATTTCTGCGGCATGGGGTCTGCAGTTTGCTATGACTTTTTCACAAACCAAGAACCACACTTTCTGGATCTTTCTGGAGGGTTCTGAGGTTTCAATGTGGGCTGCCCTTTGTGGGCCAGCACTTGGCACAACCAACCATTGCCTGCGAAAGTGGCCCATGCGGTCGGAAAGCACAAGCAACTGGACGCTGCAATACCCCTTTTCCAGCATCAAGCAAGGCATGTATCCGATGGTCTGTGGCAAGCCAATGCATCGACGCATCGGGCTCAGGCTTTCCTGTAAATACAATTGCTGCCAAGACGCATATTTCTCCTGGCGGCCGCATGCTGTATTCATGGCTATGACAGCATGCGTGTTGACGGATCATTTCCTTGATGACATGCTGACAACCATCCTGCAAAGTCGATTCTTCCAGGCAGCAGAGGCCAGCGGAAGTCACTTCTGATGGGAATCCCTGTTATTTGTCGGCGCAAGCATTGGCAGCATCATTTTCTCTGGCATTTGTGACAACTTCACACCTACACAGCGGAAAAGTCACTGCCATAAAGCATTTAGCCTGCCCAGGAACCCGCACCCACACGCCCAGCTCACCGTTTGTTTGCTATTCGAAGGGAACCTACATGCTTCAGGGTGCCAAGCTTTGACGCGCTCCCATGCACAGAACTCTTGAGAAAAGAAGGATCACCGCCAGTTTCTTAGAATATGGTTCAATCTGCCACGACATGGAAACTGCAAGTACCCGGAGAAGTCAATAGGGAGCACATCCTCTTTCTACTTCTGTAGATGATGCACCTGGCCCGCAGCATGAACACCTGGAAAAAAGACAGCCAATTCCATGAGTTTCATGTCACCTCTGCCGGCTGCAAAGCGACCCTGGAAAGATTCGATGCAGGTCTCCTTTTAGGGCAAATAGATGGGTTTCCCTGGTAGATGAGAAAAAAAAACAAACAACAGGCAAACCAGGAATCGCCCTCTATTTTTCGACCAAAATAACCAAAAAGGACAGCTATGTTCGATGCCCATTGGAACCCACGAGAGGGTCAGCCCAGGTCCTTGGCTGTGTCTTTCAGCTTCACCAGTGCCTCAGTTGTTCAGTGACCCTGGAAAAAAAAGAACCCTTTTTGGGGAAGACCATTTTTAGTGGGGCCACCAAAAAAATGGAAAAATGGTGCCACTGAACAACTGAGGTGCAGTCATCTCCTCCTCAGCCTTGGCATAGATCTCCGGCATCCGGAGCTTAAATGGATCTGCGGGGTCTTCGAAGTAGGAGAGGATCATCCTGAGGCCATCGCAGCTTCGCTGCTTTGCCCCGAGCAACTCCCTTGTTTGAGTAATTACATCAGCAGCAATATCCATGGTTGCCACTTTCCTCATCCCCATCAGCAGAAGTGCGGCACATCTCGAGTGTCCTAAAACATGCACGCTCTTGGACCATTTTTGGTCCAGATCGCTTTGCAAGATGTTGCCCAACAAACAGCGCAAACGCCCTTGCAAACCCATGTGGGAGGAAGCATCTGTATGTAGAACAGCTTCCTTGCCTGAACGAATACTTCAATGGGCTTGGTGTTGCCATTGACATCCCAATTTTCCAGGCACCCGCTCGCTTCAAATGGCCGGGGCTCCACATTCCCCGGGCAATATTTGTTCCCTCCCCCTGTCCTGGAAAAAAAGAGCCCTTGCTGTGATGCCAAAATGGGCCCATCATGACCACTTTATCATTTTACAGGGAATTGCCTGGTATCCCGAAATGGACCCCAAAACCCAGCTTTTCACAAGTATTGATTCAGTGCTTGAAGAGCCTTGTTTCATAGGGCCCCTTTGGCCAAGGGCTTCCCTACTCCGCAAGAAAGGCGATCCCAGCGGCTGCATGGTCTCGTGCTTGCTCAGGAAATCCGCGTGAAGCCCTGTGACGCAGATGTCGAAGTCCTCATACGCGATCTTTGCAGACTTGTCAAGCTTCTCCACTCCGTCCTCGCCAAAGGACCGAAGCAACCATTGACTAGTAGAATGCAAGCAGGGAAGGAGGATTTCATGGCTTTTTGACACAAAGCAACTCCGTGCACGGAAACAAACAAGAGCAAACGGAAAACATAACGACATAAGCAAGGAAACAAACAAGCAAGCAGGCACGAAAGCCGACGGATCAACTCAATTCAATCAATGAATGAAATGAATCACTAACGGCATATTCAAATCAAATCCAATCCGATCATAATCAAATTGAACTAACACAACTGACATAAAGTTAAATCCAATGTAATCCCACGATCAAACAGTCAATCAATCAATCCAATCCAATCCAATCCAATCCAATCCAAGCCAAGCCAATCCAATCCATCAATCAATCCAATCATTCCAATCCATCAACCCATCAATCCATCAACCCATCAACCCAAACATTCAACCCACTCAATCCAATCAATCCAATCAATCAAAGCAATGAAGTCAAGCCATTTCAAATCGATTCAATTCCACGTAACCAACCAACCAATCAGCCAATCGTCCGATCAAACCAAAACTACGTAAATCAAGCCATGCATTTAGTTATTCACCCACCCACGAATCCAAATCGAGCAAACTCGACTTAATGATAACTGAGTTAACACAAATAGACAAATCATTGAACAAAAAGCAACCAAACATCATGCAAAAAGCCAACACAAAAACAATAATCGAGCTAACACACAGCAAGCAGCAATCTGGTCAGCCAGCCAAGCCAAGCAAGAAGCAAGCACCTGCAACCAACGATGCGAATGACAACTCAGCTGTCTGAAAAAGGTACTTGGCAAAATCAAACAAAACAAAACAAACAAACAAACAAACAAACAGACAAACAGACAGACAAACAGACAAACAAACAAAACAATCAAACAAACAAACATACATGCACACAAACAAACACAATATCTGGCACACGAGCGAGTAACCAATCAGACAGCCACGTTCCACAAACATCACCAAGATCAAAAGCAACATCAGACGCAACGTTCTTGGGCAATCGCTTGAAATGGGCTGACGTGTGCAAGCTGAGCGTCAGAGTCTTTGTTGAGACGTCGGTTGATGTTCTCCATGCAAGGCGTGAGCTCCTCGCAAAACTGGACGGACTGCTCTGTCATTCGGTTGAGAAAGATGTCAAAGATGAAATCCTCAGATGGCTCAGCTGCTCTGTGCCAAAGGCGGGCTGGAAAAGAAAAGCCCACACGGCTCAAATGCCGACCAGATTTCATTCGGTCCAGAAACAGTTCATCAGTTTGAATCGGAAGCAGCATTGAGCTTGTTCCACGTCCTAACTTACTTGGCTGCATCTAGGGGGATGGATTTTGGGGAATGGATCTTTCTTTGGGTCATGTGGAATGGATTTTTCTTTGGGTCCTCCCATATTTCTGTTTTCCTTAAGAACCCCTTGCGAATTCTTGCGCGGCCAAGAGGCGCGGACATCTTTGCCGGCGGCGTCCTTGATGCCCTCGAGCTTGCCCAAGGTCTCCAGGTCGAAGCCATCGGCCTGGCCTCGGTTGGTGCCGCCGTTCAGGTAGTTCCCCACCTGGGGAACCGCAGCGAAGAAAAGCGAAGAGGGGGCGGCGCGGCTTGGAGGGCACCGGATTTGCCTGGCTCTAAGAAGCCAAAGAGGAAGACCCGCCATTTTGGTGGGTCCAAACAAAGACTCGCATTGGCGGAACGGGGGGGAAGATAACAGCCAGCCGGTTCACAGAAAAGCCAGCGAGACTCCATCGACTGAGCGTAGGCCGAAGCTTACAAGTGGGGCACGACGTCTGCCATGACACCATTGGCGTCGATGCCTTTCTCATGAGATTTGTGTCGCACATTCCGCCAAGGAAGTCATCGCAAATAGCCCACTTGCCCAGAGACCCGCGTAGAAAAATGGGGGAACGCTTTTGTGGATTGACCAATTTTAGCGTGGAACCGGCCAAGCCAAAAGCGAATTCGATGCCACACAGTTTTCCCGGGCGCAGGATTTTACTCTAAAAACCTGAAGGATCCGATGGAACCGTGGAATTCCCGCGGTCTCTGGGTCGGTTCCTTGTAGCGAAAGCAATGGAGACTACTCAGCTGCCCACGTTGAACAATCCGACGCTAGCACTTGCATAGGTAAGACCTGGACTACCCACAATGATGTAAGACTGGTCTCTTCTGCCCGCACCTGGCAGGAATGTGAGAAGTTGCCGAGCAGGCTTGACTGCACTCCAATCATGGAAAGCTCCAACACCGCACTGGCGAAGCATGCTGCATTAGGAAGAATCACGATTCTCATCATGCGTCAATTCTCGTTTTCACTTCAGCACTCATCCTTGAAAAGTGCTCATTGACAGAGCGCACCAATATGGCCCCCCTTCCCCACCATCAAGGGATCGAGCTGTGGTAAAACGATCTCCACGTGGCTTCCCTTCAAGGACTGCAACAATACCGAGCACCCTCCAAAAGAGACGCCAGCCACATGAAGCCACATGAAGCCACATGAAACCGCATGAAACCGCGTGAAACCACAGGAAACCACTTGAAATGAAGCCACATGAAACCACATGAAACTAAACCAACAAAATCAAACCAACTGCAACCAGCTGCAACCAACAGCAACTCTGCCCCCCCCCCCATTTTGGATTGAGGCGCTGCCAGGATCAGGCCCAAGAGCACCGGCAACATCTCGGACTCCTCGATTCGTCCCCATGTGTGTCAAAGAGGAACCGCCCCTGGGTGGATACCATCCCTCTCACTAACATGGCACCTGACAGAGGGTCCTTTGAAGAGGAAATTGATCTTCCAGGTAGCCTCTCACAGGTGCTATGTTAGCGGGATGGCAAGGGCTGCATTTCTTTCAACACTCCCCCGGTCCAAACTCGAGAAAGCAAACAAGTTCCTCAAGCGGCTACATGTGCCCAACTCTGGGTGGATTTGGCTGCGTGTCAAAATAGGGCACCGCCAAGAATAGGTGGTTTCCATTTGAGTTTCGCCAAACACTTGAGTAGTATGGGATGTTGGGCTCATGGTTTCAGTGCTTTGTGCAGGGTTTTGGTTATGGGGGGCCTTGAGGCTTGCGTTGTGATGCGTGGATCAGATTTGGGCAACTCCCATCTGGCAAGGTAGGGGCGACGTCTCTCAGGACATCAACACTGAAAGTTGTTGATCGCTTGATGTCTATGTTGGCTTTGGATCCCTTCTCCAAACCAAGAGCAGCCAGTGGACTGTGAGAAAAAACCTCAAGTCGCTGTGTCCTTTTTGCGCACATTTGTTAGTTGAGTATTTGGGGGCAACTCAAAGGAAACCAAGCATTTGTTTGGCCTTTGGGGCCCCGTAATTTTCATCCAAACAATATTGGATTCCCAAGCACGCTCACGAATCGGCCCTACTTTCATGACCAGCTCATCTGGTAAGTGGTTAGAACTCCCAGTCAGTTTGTCCCAAGCTGCGCGAAAGTTACCCTCCAGCTAACATGGAAGTGCACAGACCCCTGTAGAAAGACGACTTTCGTCTTGGAAAGCCATGTTGGGTAAATCGCATTGGACCCGGCACTTAACCACTTCCGTGGGCTCCAAAGCGTCCTGGAAGCATTCCACCACAGAGAGGAACGCCTTCAGGGCGCTGTCGTACGCCGCTTGCTGCTCCTGGCTTTCGAAAGCCTCTTCGGGAGAATCCTGGCTTCCCTTCTTGGTGGGCACATCCCTAGCTTAGAACTCCCCGTTCAGGGGTTGCTGGTTGGTAAATCCGAAAAGAGAGGCACAAGGCCTATCTTGCAAGTGATGCACGTAGATGTGGTTGCCGACATTAAAAAGCAAATCCCACAGTTAGAAAGACCCAGCCAACAAATGCGACTCAAAACCTCGCAAACTGCGCCACGATTTGTAACAAGGTGCCACGTTGCTGTGCGGCGCGGCGGTTTTCTCCCCCTATCCGCAAAGCACCGCTGTCCGCTATTGCTCGCTTACCCAGCCGTGAAATCAGACCTGCTTCTCACTTCCCGGGTGCTTGGCAAAAAACAAGTCCAGGAGCTCAGGGAAGTCCTTGACCCGGCCTGAAACCCAGGTGGATCTCTCAAGCCAAGCCCTGGGGTTTTCTCTATTTGGGGTCCCCCAAACCTGGATGCCAACTATGGCTCGAGGTCAAAAAAGCCGCGCCCTTGTGGGCTGTGGGTCAAACATATACCCAAAATGGAAGCCTGGCAAATGGAAACAAGGACTCCAACCTGCGGTCCCCTGGTGGCTTAATTTTGAACCATACCCACCTTGTAAGACATGGCGAAGGCCCAGCAGTCGATGCGCTGCTGATAGGCCGGCATGTTTCCTCAAACGCGCGCCATGACACCCTCAGTTGTTCGGCGACCCTTAAAAAAAAGGGAACGCTTTTTTGGGGAAGACCATTTCATAAATTCCAAACGGAACGTATTGAGGACATCAAGGTCTGCGCCATGTGTCGTTTTTGGCGCAACCCCATGTTGCTTGGGTGTTTTTGGGGGACACCCAAAGGAAATCCACCATTCCGGGGATCCCCACTTTTTGAGACACCCCAATTAGCTCCAAGCCCATCAAATAACTGGACCCGGATGCCCCCAGCTTCAAGCAAGACCTCCGAGGCAAATCCAGCTGACAGGCCCAATCAAGACTGTCCGTTCTTCAACAACAAGCTACCAAGCAGCAGTTGCGCCGTCAGCAAATATTGCTTCAGCTGTGATTTGCTCCGAAAGGCAAGATGTGCAAGATAAGACTATAGCATTCGGCTAACCATGGAGACCCGAGACAACGCCATTTAACGCAACCGAAGCAACCAAGAAGCAACTACCGACAGTGCACCAATCAAACCGTTTGCACTCCGAACTGGCTCCACCTCCCGCTAGGCTGACAAAAAAAGGGGGCTATGCAAACAACCTGTCTGGATATAATCGAGACATTGCTTAAACATCAACTTGGCTTCGTCATGGCAGCTTTCTTCCGAATTTGGCTAACCAGCAGAAACCAGCGCGGTTGCTAGTCCCAGGCTCCAATGACCCACATATAGCTCTCCGGCAGCGCCCAGGGCACGTTGGGATTCTTCTGCCTGGCCTCGCCCATGTCTTTCAGCTGTGGAGCCGTGGGGCAAGCGTTGTCCTAGCATTCCATCTGCGCCAAAGGGCCATCTGCAGCATGTTGAAGCCCAAAATGCGAAGAGAAAGCATAGGGTCATCGAATGAATGCTCCAAACGACTGCCCTTCTTGGTGAACGCAAGGATATGAACAGGAATGCTTGTGTAAGCAGCCCCCCTTTGGCATGATGAAACAAGCCATGCCGGCCGTGCCTTCCGGCCACTCAACTGCAGCTTGGGAGCAGTTTTAGAGCCGGAAGTGTCCACGTTGGATTGGGTGATTCGGGTTTCCGGTTTTGGGACTTAAGTTGCTCTCAGGATTTCGCGATTGGCTTGTCGTTGGCATGAGGCAAAGAGTTCAGATTTGATGCGGTTGGTTGGGCTTGTTCTTTCGGCCTTCAATTCTCTCACATGACAATCTTGCAAGGGACAACAATCAATCTTCACGTTTATTGGGTACGCGTTTTGGTAGGACAGGGGAGATTGAAATTGGCCTGTTCCCCAAAATTGAACCGACTGCTGCCTCCGCATATGAAGAAAGGCATCCCAGTAGAGATGCTCTTGTATTGCTTGTTTCTGGTATGCGGTATGCGGGCATGTTTCAAAGGGAACCATCATGCACCATTTGGAGAGCCCCTAGTGTTACATTCCGAGTTCCCATATCATGTGGCGGCGTGCATGTTGGAGGGTATCCTTTTTGGGGGTGGTGTTACAGGGAACCTCAAGGGGCCTGCCAGCATTTGGGGGGGTCCCCTGTTTTCATTTGATGCTGCACGAAAACAATGTTTCTCGGACGTCAACCCTAGCATCTGCTGATAACACACAATGGCTGGAGATTAGGGTCCAAAGGGCTCCGCCAGAAGCACATGTACTCATCCCTTGAAACGGGCCCAAGTTGTAACTGTGTAAGTACACATGTTGAAAGGGACAAGCTCTGTGTGTGTTTTTGTCTTGTTTTGGGCACCGGTTAGTACAGGGACAGAAAGAAATCGGTGAAGTGCGTCCCTCGCCAACCTTCTGAAGCTGGCAGAGCTAGATACGACTGCGGTCGGGTTTGGCAAGCAATCAGCCACTTTAGCATTGGTTGAGAATCGGACCATTCTAGAAGTCGGAAGTATTGTGGGAATCCCGGCGGTCTGGGAAAAAAAACATTTGTTGCAAGGATGCATTTGTGAGGGGGAAGAACACATATGTCCAAGGGTTGATTCTCCATTCTTTCCAGCCATCGTTCTTTTCGAAAGCCGGATCCGTTTCCCTGGGTTTCCGGAGGCTTTCTAGAAACATCCGGATCCCTGGGTTCAGAAGGGACATGGAAATGGACAGCACCAAGAACCTGGGGGGACATATCCCAGCCATCCGCGCAGGTTCCCGGTTTTTTTTTTTCCCCCGGTCCTTGACCACCTGCAGCAGCTCCATGTCCAGCACCGTGTCGTCCAGCTGATCCAAGGCGCGCGCCACCTCGCTGGGCTCCGGCAGCTTCTTCAGCGAGGCTTCTTTGCCCACCACGATCCTCGGAGCCAGCGGGCGGGCGGGCGGCTTTGGGGGGGGGGCCCCAAGGGATGGGAATCTTTGGGGCGAACTCTGGACGGTTTTGGGGCAAATGCGAGGGGGGGACTTTAAGGAGCTATGGGCCAAATGACGAACTCCGGAGTACAAACATCGGCAAAAACAGGGAGCGCTTCTGGAGTTAGTTCTGTGAAACGGCGGCAAAGGGAAGCTACTAGACAAACCAGAATGGGGGTGCCTTGGAAACATGCCAAGTGGGGCCAACTCACCATAGTTTCTTTGGGCTAGCCTCTTGTCTAAACCAAACTAGGATTGGCCGTTGGATCCTTATCAAAACAGGACAGCAAGCTCCCCTGAAGGTTCTAGGCGCCCTCCCAAATAGTGGAAGAGATGACTTCGTGGGGCCATACGAGCGGAGACTCTGCGGGTCTGTGATGACCCTCAGGCTCTTCAACTCCTCTTTCTTGGTCTCAGTCTCGTCCTTCTTTGGCTTCTCCTGAGAATTCCCAGTTGAACTTGCAATGAGCCCTTTTCAACGCAAACACACGATTCAAAGAAAGCTTTGTCTTTTGAACCTCTTTGGGTGTCCTGCCAAGGGCTTTTCACCGTCAAAGGCTTCATGGCAACAAAGGACTACTTGGGGCGGAAGCTTGCCTACCAGCATGCGGGCTTTTATGTCCAGTCCTTCTTTCCAACAGCAGACTTACTGAAACGCTCCGTCAACTCTTCCAAGGGGATCTTCTCCATGTCGTCTTTCACCTCATCCCAAATGGTATCGCCCTTCTGCAGCTGCGACCCAAAGAGCATCTTCCTCAGCGGAGCTCGTGACATCATGATGGGTTGTTTGGCGTGGACATCATCTATCTAACTAAAGCGCACACCAGCTTCTAACTTGTAAATGGCTTTCAATAACAGCTATACTCCCTTCACTTCATGAACCATATGTATCTTAATGTCATGGTCAACTAAAGGGCAGTCCCGCTAAGCTGTGATGCCGCTTGGGCAGCATGGAAGGCGCCAGATTTGTGAGCCACTCCAACATATAGCCTGTGAGCATGTTCGAAGATTGGGCACTCCGCAAGCATAGCTCCAAGTTCTGCGGAAGGTAGGGGGAAAATCAAGGTCTTGCTAAATGGGTCAACTAACACAGTCAACGTCACTACAGGATTGGCAAGGGTGCAGCTTGGAGAGGCCCTCAAAGCCGTCAGCACCAGGTACATGGCTGGTGATGTTGATTCTCATGAAAAGGCAAACCCAGCAAGGGCTCCCCAAGTTTTCGCACTTCTCTGTTTTCTGTGCGTGTGTGTCTGTCTGCGTAGAGGCTGTCCTAAGAAGGAACCGACAAGGGCTCCTAATTCTACAAGGGCCCCTAGCTTTTTGAAACCAAACAAAAGCACCTTCCTGCATTCGATTCCATCACCAAATAGGTGTCGTCAAAAGCAACATCTTAGTCATCAACAAGCAACTTCTGGCGCCCAAACGGACGGGATTCGGATTGGGAAAGAGTTGATTTGGCTAGGAAGGGTCTGGGAAAGTTGATGTAGGGTCTGCAGGGTGGGTGACCTTTCACCTGAAGCTGCATTTTTATCGCCCCATTTCGGGCTCAAATCCCGTGCCGCGCAGCACTCAACTTTCCCACCAGGTGTTTGTTGATGCCTATGCGATTTTGCTGCGGCCCTCCCTCAGCCAGGCCCAAGCCCGAAAACAAACACCAGAAGAGGGGGTTGCAACATAGAGTGCCCAAAACACACCTCAGATATGAGCTTTTTTCCCGGTGGTTGCCATGGCCTTAGTGTCCACCATTACTACTCCCCCGAATTAACCCCTCCAAGCTGCGTCCACCACAGCGGCTTCATGGGCTGCGCCGGCTTCACCGCCGGCTTCGTCTCCAGCGGCGCTGCCGCCTTGCCGCCCTTGCCGCCCTTCGCGCCCTTCGCGCCCTTCGCGCCTGGAGCGGGACGCGGTCCAAGCGGCGGCTTGGGACCGCGCTGGGCGGTTTTTGGGGTGGGCGGTTTTTGGGATTGGCCGCTAGATGCCGCGAGCTTTTTTGAAGGGGGAGGCATGTGGTCAAAAATTGCAGGTTGGTTGCCAGGTCAGGTGGGAACAAATGCCCTTGTTTTGGGTTGATGGGTTGAGCCTTTCTGTTTTTGTGGGGGAGAGGGGAAGTCTAGAGCAGTGCTTGGCTGTTGTTCAGTGGGGAGGTCAAGAATAGCAAAAGACAACATTCATGAAGACTGGGAAGGAGAGTCAAAAAATGGGAACTGCCTGCAACAAACGTTGGGGTCGCGTGCCTCTGAAGGGCTCGTGTGGCACCTCAATGTCCGCGTCATGGCAGGTAACTATATGCGGACAAACACATCCCAGCCTGCTGGTGCTGGCCCTTTGCCACCAGGCGCAGGCGGCCCCTTTCCAGCGGGGGCAGGCGGCCCCTTGCCCGCAGGGGCAGGCGGCCCCTTGCCGCCTGGGGGAGGGGGGCCTTTTCCTTTACCCTTCTTTGGGGTAGCAGCTTCCTCTTTCGGCTCCTCCTTGCTCTCCTCCTTTGCCTCGCCCGGAGGAGGGCCCTTGCCCTTCCCACCGGGTGGCGGCGGTCCTTTGCCCTGGGCAAATCGCAGCAAATCGCAACGCGCAGCATTTTTTCGCTCCCTCGTGCATATGGGCTTGCTGTGCCCAGGCAGGATCCAAGTCAATGGGTCTCTTGTTCTCTCTCTCTCTCTAGATGTGGGGCGCTCACAAACGGGCGAATGTGTGGTGATTCTACCTTTCAGCTCACTACCAACAGAGGGCGGCTGATGTTGACACATTCCCCATGGTTTGACCCTTCGTGTGGACCCTATCCAACCTGAATTGCCCCCAGCCCCTGCATCTTCCAAATTAGTCCTGTAGTACGCGATCCTAAAGTTTTGACGGTACCGCAGATTGACACAATCAAAAGACCTTTTCCGAGAAACCCTTCAGAGGTGGGTTGCAAACACCCAAATGCCCCATGGTCCAGCCTTGGCCTTCCCTGCTGGCTTGGGCACGGCGCTCGGCTCAGGCTCCTCCCGGAGATCTGGGCCATCACTGCAACTGGACCATATCTGAAGAGTGATTCAGGGAATCTGAATGGTCCTTAAGATTGTTGCAACCACTGGGCCATATCTGAATATGGGCATTCACTGAATCACATCTACCTCAGGATGTGATTC